TTTCTGGACAAGAACACCCTTACACACCTGTAGTGGAATTGTCATGGCTTGAAGCAGTGATTGAACACCTGGTGGGAAGGCAGGGCCAACCCAGGATTGCTCAGGTGCATGCAATGTACCTAATGACTAGAAGGTGTGGAGTCAGGATCCACCCCTTCCCAGACCTCTTTTAAGGGTTGGCAGTAGAAGCAAGGGCATCTTACTGAAGCTTCTTGCATACCTGAGGTCTTCTGAAGGTAAGCAGGTTTTTTTTTTCCCCCCTCACTTATTTCTGTGGCTATTGCATTTGAACTAACTGTCACTTGCTGCAGCTTGGGGTCCTGCTGCTCTGCTGTCATGTTATGCTTTTCCTTGTGTTACAAAACACAAGCCATCTTTTTCCTTGGTTAAAAGGAAGTTTAAGACGCTTGCAGCTCATAGCTTTCCAGGGACATACATTGCATACCTCTTGAACAGGGGTAACTGATCTTCCTAACAAGGCAATTTGGTTTCTTAGGTTTCAATCAAACTTCTAGAAACTAGGAGGCATCGTGTCTGCTATCTCCCTGTAATTTCCAAGTGGTCAGCCGATTGCTGGCACTCCTGTCAGGCAGCAGTGTGGTGAGAGGTGGTGGTAGAAGAGTAGGGAACAAGAGGCAATGAAGTGAAATATCGAGGTTAGCTTTGCCAAGCATCCTGTACCAGCCACTAACCTCTCTGCACTGCGGACTGTTGCCCAGCAAAATGTATCACCAGTCCCACAAATATCACTGCTTTAACACCTTGTATATCCCTGCAAATGGTTCTTTATGGAAGCCTTGCTTCTTATGCTAGCCCTCTACAATAATCCTCTTGTAACTTTTCAACTTGTCACCAGGTTTATAAAACTTTAAAGCTAGTGCTATAACAAACTGAAACAATGTTATTGCAGATGTAGGAGAGCATCTTGGGATGAATAAATTATGGGAGCCACGAAGAAATCATGATGACAGCGGCTCCATGCTCCAAGTTGCTTATGGTGTGCAGATACACAGGGGGAGCAGGTTTAGCAATGCAGAGATCATAGGGCAGGGAAATTGAAGCATTATGAAGGATAACCATCTCTTCTTCTAAACACATACAATATGTCTGGTTGTTTTACTTAATGAAATCCTTCATGAATGCTTGAAGGGAATCTGAAACTGTCTGGTACTGGAAAAATACATCCCTGAAGATAAGGGAGGCAAGGCTGCAGGTGGAAATAGCAGCTTCCACTCCCACCCTGCAGAAAGTGGGCAGACTGGGCCAGTTCTTCAGCTGTCTGCTGAAGGGCACGCAGGAAAGACTTCCAGCTCCTGAAGCAGTTGATGCTGGATACCATCAGAGCTGGATCCAACCAAATAACTTCCCCAGCCTGTTTCCTCAGAGGACAGCTAGGAAGTGCCATCCTCTTGTTCTTGGCAGATCCACTGAGCTACAGAGCATCATTATGAAGGTGTTACTCTTTTCAGGCTGCCTTTAAAACCCCAACTTGCAAATTCATACAAGACCTGAGAATTCTCCAACCAGGCCTTTCATTTTCATGGATCAACACTTCCCAGAGGATCTGCCACTCAGGTGTGCCCTCCCCAGTACTTACTTGGCCTGGCCCCTGCCACCTTTTCCCAAGCATTTCAATTGATGTTACTGATCTTGGCTCAGCAAATAATCCTTCTAATCAATGACAAGAACAGAGGCTGCAGCTCAGCATTGCTTAGCAGAGCTAAGAGGAGAACACAGCAATAAAGCATTACTTGAGCAAGTGAGCTTGAAAATACGGCTGGCCACACACAGTTAGCAGCTGTGGTGAATGAGATGTCATTTTTTAAAATAAGGACAATAGTTTTGGTCCCTCATGATTAGGAGATCACTACAAAGCCAGCAGTGCACCTAGGAGCCTCTTTTAACCCAGTGTGACTCCATCTGCACTGTACCATGTCATGGTGTCAGGGCATGGCTCTCAAGAAGATAAGATGCTTTGCCTTTGTACAACAAGGAACCAGGAGATACTGAGCTTGTACAGGCTACTGCAGTGTGTTCTGTGGTGTCTGGGAACTTCCAGGGTAATGACACAGTTGTGTTGTCTTTGTGTAGCCCTGTAGACTCCAGGATTGAAATGTCATCACATAATCATTTCGGCAATACCATTCCCATGGGAGCGGAGGCAAAGAGTGTCACTTAGATTGTGGATGGAGCTGCATTCTTCTAAAGCACCACATCCAGCCAAAGTCCTGTGGAAAACAACTTCTTGAATCACGCTATGGCCAGGCACTGGCAGCACTTGTTCCCTACCATTGTGCAGCCAGTAAATGCCAGGAGTCCCAGGGATAGGCACATGGGAGAGCTGGGGGTTCTCCTCAGCCTGCCCAACCCATTGTTCCAGAAAGGATGTCTGAGGATTAATTAATTATCCTACAAGGGGCAGTAAGTAATAACACTCCTGGTGGAACAATAGAAGCTATTTGGTTGCCATGACAACTTGGCTCCACTTGTGTGCCTTTAATTTATTCATTGCACAGTCCCTTCCCCAATCACACACAATGCCAAAAAATGCCTTGTTTTTCTTGCCAGTCACCATGTCCAGAGTAGGGGTAGGACATGGCCCTTTCCTCGGGGCATCTGTCACACAGAATGATGCACGTAAATCTCTTCTGCCTGGAAAACTGCATCCCATGAGATTCTGCTCCCTGTAGGTTTGATTTTGATTCTCATCATTTAACCCCTTTCAAAGCCTCCTCGCTACATTTCTTACACGTCTTGATCTTGAGTGGGTTCTCCTGCAACCACAGGCAGGAAGAATGACCAGGATTTTGTGTGCTTGTCAACCTCTATGGAGAACCAGGAGATAATCAGAAGCATGGAAGCGACATGCCATGGCAGCATCAACAGATGTGTGGTGTAAGCAGTGTGTAGTTCTCACTCTGGTTGCAGCCATGCCATGATTACAGAAACGCTCAGTGTCCATCAGCAGTTCTGCCCACGTTCTGTAAGACCCAGAGTGATGTGCAGATGAAGGTCAGTGCAGGTTCAACTCTCCCCTACACTCCACAGAGGTTTCTCTACAATCTTAATCATACGCTTTTGCCCCAGCAGTCCTTCTGCAGAGGAAATATGGTGTTCACTGGAAAGGGGAGAGCGTTGCTCTCACAAGGAAAGGGTTGGAAGTATTGCTAAGAGAATGGCTGCTAGCACAGTATACAGCATGCCTGACTACAGCAGGTGTGTGGCAAAAGACTTGAGAAGACCTTACAGCCCATGGACACACCTCCAGCAGGAGCTTCATCTTGAATTTGAAGCATTTAGCTCTCTTCTGATATCTATACAGGAAGATCAGGGTAATTGTAGCACTTAAGCTGAGAATAAATCCTTCACTTCCTGCAATTACATTTGTGCAATCTGGTGTCTTATACAACATTTCCAGACCCCAAATTTTTCATTCTGACTTTAGCAAGGAAGGTGACAGCTGCCATGTAGGAAAATTCAGGTCCAACTTGAGACTGGGGGAGGAGGTGACTTAATGTTGAGCTTTGTCCTGACAGGCAGGATAGATGGAACTGGGTTAAGCCATCTGCCTTTTTGAAGTTGAGCTTAACCTCGAGCACAGTTACCCAATGCAGTAGGGACTGAGAGCGTTACCTGAATTTTTGTATGTACATGCTGCTCAGTGTCACTATTAACACTGAGGTGTAACATGCCATACAGAGAATGATAATAAAGGTTGGGCTAGAGAAAACAGGGCAGGGGAGTCTGGAATCAGATAAATAGAACAGGAGCATTGGGAGATCAAGATTTTAACAGTCTCGAACAGCAAGAGCTCTGAGCTGGCCTAGGATACCCTGCATGGGTCAGGAATGAGGAATAGGACAGCTGCTGCTGAATGGTCCCCATGCATCCTCATGGCATGCAGAGGGACTTGGAGGAAAAGCCTCTGGGCAGGAGGGAGGAGGTAGGTCTAAGTGACAGATCAGTGCAATGCAATGGGGTGAAATCTGTTATCTGAGCAGAGAACAGTGGTAGGAAAAGCTCCAGCCTATAAATGCCACCCCAAGCAAGCAGATTGCCCTAAGATGCCTCCCTTCCCAGTAGAGATCTCTAAAGAAATGCCAAATCGCTACCAGCAAGCATACAAAGCCACTGCCCATTTTCCATCTTTGCAGTCACAGGCTGACTGTAAAGCTACTCTTGCTTTTGTGCCACCAGAAAAATACAAGCATCTTCTTTGAAGAAGTAAGCATTAATGGCTAGAGGAAACAACTGGCACAAAATGAAAAGAGATGAGAGTCCACTCTGGGTAAGTTGTAACTAGTTCCAGAGATGCCAGCCAAGTTTCTTCATATTGACAGATGACACTCAGGATGCTTCTCTGAGCTAGTGAATGCTAACCTTTCCAGGACTTGTTTCATCAGGAAGAAAACTACAGTCCTTCAATCACATCACAAATACTACTAGCAGATACAGGCATGTACCAGAGGTCCATCACACCAGCCTTGCTTTGTGAGGGCTTAATTTCAGAATTGTTTTGGTCTGGAGCTGGGCTGTGGGGCCAGTAGTGACACAGGCCAATTAGTGGGTGGAAAGAGCAAGGCTCAGACAGAAACCAGAAAAAAAAATTTGGAGACCTCATTTAGTACAGCCCGGTGATGTGCTGAACTTTCTTTTTTTATCACGCTGCACACGAAGAAATCATGCTTGAATTTGTTATGCTTTTGTGATGAAGAGCTGTCTCAAGCCATAGTACAATATCTCTCGTAATCCTATGTCCAATGAGAAAAAAAATGCATTTTGTATCAGAAATTACAACTTTTCTCCAACAACTTCCCAATAGTTGCAGGGAAGATCTGCAGGAGGAGCTTAAGGAAGCAAAGTTGACTGGCCTTTTCGTCAGGGCACCCTGGCAGCTCAGGTGACTCCAAGGAGAGATTGTCTTGGATGTGCATCTCAACCAGGAAAAGGTAAAACATTTTATTAGCCTTTTGTTCTGTTTGTTTTCATCCCAAACTCACCATGTTGACTTCAGAGATCTGGTCAATGCTGGAGATATGGATGCTCATTCCCACTGTGACAGGGTTACCTGAAAGACAAACAGACTAGGTTAGGACCATATCCAGGCTCTCTCCTCCTGCCTGCTATTACAGCACTGAGTAGAAATGCATGGATGTGACTTGGAGCAGCCTCACATTCTGCAAGTACCCAGAATTTCAAAGTCACATGTGCTCAGATTATTAGAGAAGAATAGATTTGTCTGACTCCCAGCTTGATTCTTTAATTCTTGGAAGTTAATCACTCCCCCTAGTTATACAATTATCTCTAGTTATTCTAAATAACACCTTCAGAGACATCAGCAGGCTCTCAGAGGTCTTGCAAAAGGTGTTGCTGATTGACTATACACAGAACAGAGCATCAAATCCATGCAGCACATAGGCAGGAAAGATACTCAAGCTCACTTCTCCATCCTCCTGCCAGCGCTGCCATACCAAACAAAGCCCAGATGAGTTTTAATACCCAAGACACCAGACAAGTAATGGAAACAGATCCATTAAGTTAGAAACTAGCATTTCTACTGTGGCTTTTCAGGGAAGCAAAGAGTAGTGTTGGGATTAGAGAACAAATTCCCCATTTTACCATTGGCGTAAGGGTACACCATCCCTCACTTAAGCTGTGTAAAATGATTTGCAGAGAGATACGCATCCACTGCTGAAACTAGCACAAGCTCTACCTACAGCAGCTAGGGATAAGATTTCTGAGAGCCACCAGTCCCCTGTCATCCCCACTGCTCCACAGTCAAACTCAATTCCACTGCAGCCAACAGTTCTCTTCTCACATGTGCCAGGTAGAAAATGCTTCCTTGCAGTGTAGTACAAGTGAGGGAAAGGCAAGCAGCTCTGCCACTCAAGGTATTAACTCTTCCATGGACTCATTAGTAGATCTAAGTGCTGGAATATTTACAGATAATCATGAAATGGCTTAGAAAGTAATTAGGAGATTGGGGTAGAGGGGAGAACCACACAACTGAAAATGAAGTGATTTTTTAATTATATGTTTCCAGAAGTAGGAAAGTAGTGTCATTAGGGCTGCCTTGTGATTGGGTGTACTGTTAACCAAGACCCTCTGCTGCAAATTAAGCAGCGTTATCTTTTAATGGAATATGAACAACACTGAAAACATCAGAATCAACAACTGTAATTAGACCCTGCTAGGCAAATCCCCTGAAAAAGGCAGTGCTCTTCTGCAGCACTCCTGGCTCGCTGTCAGTGGTGCCAGGGACAGGGTGCTCAGGAAACCTTGCAGAGCCTCCAGAAATCCCCATGCAGGCTCCCAGCCACATCCTTGTGTTGCTCTGCTCATCTATTACAAAGGAACCAGGTGGGAAAATAACCACAAGTTACTCTGTGACAGCCAACCTTCTCACATCCTGCGCTGTGCCAGAGGCTGACAGCAGCACCAGTAAAGCACTTCAGGAAGTCTCACTTCAAGTAGTTTGTCTTTTTTTTCTGCACTCAGGACCTTGTAGTGATAGCAGCTATGGCAGGAAGTATCACTGCCCTGAAGACCTTACTGACTAATTGGCTGCAAGAGGAAAGATGGGGCTGTGTCAGGGCTGCAGCAGAGCTGGGGAGAAGCCAGCTCCTGACTTCTGAGCCCCACTGCATGCCAGTGTTATTTCCTCCAAGAGATGCCCTGCTATCTTCTTTGCTTCCAGTTTGTCAATGTGGTACTGTGGTCAGGTGTCCTTTCCTTTCTTGGTGAGAGGAAAAAAAAGCTTTTCTTCACCACTGCCATGCAAGAGACCCACTGAAACAACCAGCCTGAGTGGCAATAGGAAGCACTGACAGCGGTGATATGCAAATATTTGTCAAATGCAGAGACTATCCAATCTAATCTATCTGTCTAGACATTTGTGCTGTGTTCATCACCATGGTATCTGAGTGCCTGGGGTCATGCAGTGACTCAGTGTCAGAACTGTGGATAAGATCCAGACCTTCCAACTCTCAGCTCCAAGACAAGTGCTGGAGCGGAGATCATCGTGCTGCTCCCCATCAGTCTGTGCTCACCCGCACCCAGCACTTGTGCCCAGTCAGCAATGTTCCCAATGGCCACTCTGGGCACTGCCAAGACCTCTATACCCCATCCATCACAGCAAGTGGGAAGCTTCATGAGCTACTTCCATCCCCTGGGATATGGATTTGTCAACTCACTCCAGAGATGAAGGTATGCAAAGATCTATATTGGATCTACCCTTGGCTTGATTGCCAGGAAGCCATTTTACCTCCATTCTAACTTGAAGACTGCCCTTCCACCTCTTCAGGACAGCACACGTGCATACACAGCCAGCGGAAAATACTCGCTCTAACTCTTACCACAGCCCAGAGAGAAACTAGATCGGCTGCTGTCCAACATTCAGGCTGTAAGTAGTACACAGAATAAACAAAGGACATCAATTCTGCCAATGTTAATAGCTTCAGGCAAGAGGGATACAAAAAGTAGGGTATTTAAAATACAGGATAACGTCATCTGAATTTGTTCAAAAGGCAGAGCTCTGCATCTGCAGATCTGAAAAATGCAAAAGAAAACCTGATATTAAAGATTTATGCTTTTATCTGCAAACTAGACCTTTAGCCCTTAGAGAAAATGCTTATGCCTTGGAAAGGTTTGTAGGCAAGTTCACAAGTGAGGGACAGTGAGAAACTGCCTCTTCCACCAGTGAACAGCACTGCCATGCATCTCCATTTCTCACCACCACTGGAGAAGTCACCAACATTTTATCCTCAAAGCAGTTTGACGTCTGTGAAAAATGTTCTCAGGGGAAGTTGGAAGGAAAGCAGACAAAAGAGTTATAATAAAATCAGTCCTTTTTCTGCAAGTGATACTTGTCAAATACAAAAACAGCCAAGGTAGAGAACAAGTTGTGCTAATCTGCAATATTTTTCCAGCAACCAGTTATTACTTTCACATTTTATTTTATAATGTTTTAAAGCCCCAGAACCCAGCATCGTGTTGCTACAGAAGCAATCCCTATGGCACAACTGCAGAGGAAAGATCATGTTCCCAAGCCTGTCTGCTTTCACTGCAGCCAGGGGTGATGGCAGCCTGGATCAAGGCATTTCTTCCAGTTTTCAGCCTTGTAGTTCAGCTGCAGGAGGAAGCAAAATCTGTAGCACAAAATTCAGTGTATGTAATGTGCCTCCAAACACAATATGGTGACTTGGGCAGCTGGACTGCGCCGTGGTTCACATCGCCCTTTCTTCACTCCTAGCCCAGAAAGTTAAACTAGAGCAAGTTTGGATTTCTCTGCCATTAGATTTCCAACTACGATATAGAAACAGTCAAAGACTCAAGAACAGTGAGCAGTCAAATGTAACTTATTATCTACTAAAGCCACATCACTTTTATAAACTACAGCCAGTGCTTTGAGGAGCCTGGTTCTTGCATCTCTGAGTATGTGAACCTGGCATTGCTGGCACAGCAAAGGCTTGCAGTTGCTAAGGGACAGGCTTCAGCCTCAAGTCTACGCTCCAGCCCAAACTACAGGAACAAAGGGTTGACAAGGATCTTGGGAGGTGGCACAGCCCACATCCTTCACAGAAGCAGACTCAAACTTAAAACTTCTTTAGTGGAGGCTTTCTTTAAAACCACCAGTATCAGAAATTCTCTTACACCCCTGAACAATCTCTTGCATTTGACTGCAATGAGAAAGCTTTACTTGAATATCCAAATTAAACCTTCTCTGCAGTACAAGCGTAGTTGATTGTCTCATCATCTCCCACCCTCCCCCTCCCCCCAATGATAGTGAAAGAATAAATCAATCATCCTTCTTTGACAACAGCTTTCATGTACTGAGAAACCATGACATCCTTCTCCCTCCCCCACTAATACTGTCTTTCCTAGATTAAATGCACCTGAATTCTCCAACCTCTCCTTGGAGGTCATGTTTTCTAAAGCTCTAACAATTAGTGCTGTTCTCCTCTGGCCTTTTGCCAATTTGTCTACATCTCTATTTTAAAGGATGGTATCCAGACCCTGAAGTAAAGATGACATGTCATCAGCACAGAGGGGGAAAAAAACAACCTCCAATGTATAGCATTCTCCTAAACCACTTTGGGTATACTGCTGTCCAGAAACCACTCCAAACCCACTGCTCCCATCCTGAGACCTGCTTGTTTTGAGTAGGAGTTCAGAGATATCAATGGAGCAGCCCTGTTCTTAACATTCAAGTGCATCACATGTAGAAGAGAGGGAATGTAGCACTGTCTTTTGGCCAAGAGTGAGGCTCATCCAATCTCATATATGCATGACTCCCAGTGTTGCCTGCTTGCACCCTGCCTGTGGCATTATCAGTCTCCAAGATTGCCTGGGAAGATCATGGAGTAGATCCTCCTAGAAGCTATTTTAAGGCACGTATGAGACAAAGAGGTGATTCAAGACAGCATGGCTTCACCAAGAGCAGATCTTGCCTGACCAATCTGGTGGCCTTCTACAATAGTGATGGCTTCAGTGGATGGGGGAAGGGCGATGGATGTCATCTACCTGGACTTCTGCAAAGCCTTTGACGTGGTTCCTCACCACATCCTTCTCTCTAAATTGGAAAGGTGTGGATTGGAGGGATGGACTGTTCGATGGATCAGAAATCAGTTGTCTGAACGCAGCCAAAGGGTTGTGGTCAATGGTTCTGTGTCATGGTGGAGGTCGGTCACAAGCGGTGTCCCTCAGGATGACGCCCTTCATCAGCGATAGACGGTGGCATCGAGTGCACCCTCAACAAGTTTACGGATGACACCAAGCTGAGTGGTGCAGTCGATACATTGTAAGGAAGGGAAACCATCCAGAGGGACCTGGATAGCCTGGAGAAGTGGGCCCATGAAAACCTAATGAGGTTCAATAAGGCCAAGTGCACGGTGCTGCATTTGGGTTGGGGCAATCCCAGGCATTTATACAAACAGGGAAGATCTTCTTCAGAGCAGCCCTGTGGAGAAGGACTTGGGAGTCATGGTGGAAGAGAAGCTGGACATGAGTGAGCAGTTGCACTTGCAGCCCAGAAGGCCAACTGTGTTCTGGGCTGCACTAAAAAAAGGG